ACATGTCTGCAGAAGGCCGCCCGGAAGCGGCCGGCTCCACCGCCCGCATCGGGAGCGCGCGGCCGGCCTCCCGTTGGGCGGGCCATCCGCGGCGCCGCGCCCCGGCCTCCTGACGCAGCCGTGGCCACGGCACACCCGCGCAGGAGCGACTCGGCGCCGCGCGCAGACGCCGCAAGAGGCAGGGCCGCAGAAGGGCGCGGGTGGGGCACGCGCCAGAGATTCGAGGCCCTGGAGCGACGAAAACTTGTTTCCCGCCAGGACGAGCACCTTCAGATGCATGAGCGCCGCGTCCTGCAGGTGGTCGAGCCCGTCCGAGAGCGCGTTGTCTGCCAGCTCGAGCCGCTGCAGGTTGGGTAGGGTGGGGAACTCCTCGAGCGAGGTGAGCCCGCACCCATTCAGCTGCAGCACCTTGAGCTTGGTGAATTGGTTCAGGCCCGTCACTTTGCTCGCTTTGACACCATCCAGCACCAGCTCCAGCACCTCGCTCGCGTCTGTGCCAGCCGTCTTTTGCGCGATGGTGGCCTCGAGGCTCATGGCGGCTGCCTGAGAGGGCGGCAGGGGGGCGCGGCTGGAGGGGGAGGTGGCGGTGGAGTCTTGCTGAAGCGGTCGTGCGTGGCGGGCGGCGGCGCTGAGCGGCCCACTCGATGGCTCGATGGAAAGCGGAAAGCGATGCTGAAACAAGAAAAACGTCGGGCAGAGACCACAGGCCCCCAGGGAACTCCCATGCCGCTCGGCCTCCTCCTCCACCTCCTCCCGCTCGCCTCCTGTCACGGCCTCGCCGCGGCACACCGCCTCCGCGGTGGAGCAGCGCTCACGCTGCCGCCGCTCGTCGGAGCCTATCAGTCCGCGCTCGCGGCGGCGCCCATCACGACAAACGTGCTGTCGGCCGCCAGCCTCTCGGTGCTCGCCGACGGGATGGCGCAGGCCGTCGAGCGGCGCGGCTCGTGGGACGTCTCTCGTGCGGCGTGGATCTCCGCCTGGGGCGCGAGCGTGAGCGGCTTGATGCTCTTCTTTTGGTTCCGGCTCCTCGCTCGCCTCTTCCCGCTCGCGGCGAGCTCGACGGCGCAGCTCGTGGGCAAGGTCGCGCTCAACCAGGCGGTGATGTCGCCGGGCCTGAACGCCGGCTTCTTCGCCTTCGTCGTCCTCACCCGCGACAAGGCGCCTCCTCCAGCAGCCCTGACCTCCGCCACCTCTTGTCTCGTCACCACCCTCCTCGCCACCTATGGTCTTCACCGCCCTTGTCTTGTCCGCCCGCACCGCTCCCGCCCCCGCCAGCGCCTCCCTCGCCGCTTCCGCCCTCGCCGCCTCCGCCCTTATCGCCACCGCCATCACACACCACCGCCACCCGCTCCACCGCCACCCTCACCACCCACCACCCGCTTCTCCACCTCCATCACCGCCTCTCCTCCTCCGCCCCACCCCAGCCGTACCTGAGGCTCGACGGAGAGAAGCGGCGGCGGCTCGGCCGCAAGCTGAAGAGCGACCTGCCCGCCACAGTGCGCCGCTCCTGCTACTTTTGGGGCGTGGCGCAGGCGAGATGAGCGCGAGACCAGCAGCGCGAGACTCGCCGAGATCGGCCGCTACGTCTCGATCTCTCCGCAATCTCTCCGCGACCTCTCGGCGACCTCTCGGCGACCTCTCGGCGACCTCTCGGTCTCTATCGCTCGGCGACATCTCGGCGACCTCTCGGCGACATGTCGGCGACCTCTCGGCGACCTCTCGGCGACCTCTCGGCGACCTCTCGGCGACCTCTCGGCGACCTCTCGGCGACCTCTCGGCGACCTCTCGGCGACCTCTCGGCGACATCTCGGCGACCTCTCGGCGACCTCTCGGCGACCTCTCGGCGACCTCTCGGCGACCTCTCGGCGACATCTCGACTGCAGGCGCTCAACTTCCGCCTTCTCCCGCTCGAGTACAACACGCTCTGGACCAACGGCAGAAGCAGCCGAGAGGGGCCGAGAGCAGCCGAGGCGGCGGGGGAGGGGAGACTCTCTCCTGAGCCTTCCCTGAGCCTTCCCTGAGCCTTCCCTGAGCCTTGCCTCCTCTCCCCCCCCCCCCCCTCCCCCCCCCCTACCCCCCCAAAAAAAAAAAGGGGGGTTCCCCCTCTGGAAGACCTAAATTTCGGGGGGGGGCTTCCGGGAGGCAAAATGACCAAACCGGGGCTCAAAAACTTCTCCTCGGTCGAAAACTGCTCCCCGGAGGGGAAAAGCCAGGCCCCCAAAAAAAGCCCTTCCCCCCCGGCCCGGAAGGAAACCCCCCAAGAAAGGCGGCCTGCAAAGACCTTCCCAAAAAAGCAAACTTCCCTTTGCGGGAGGGGGCCGGCCCCT